GAAGTTAGCTTTCGAGGAGCAAATAACTCCACTGATAAGGAAAGGTTAAATAAGCATACCCTGAGATAGGAGGAAAATCAAGCGATCGTGGGATTGGAGCAACCATCGCTGCCCCATGGCTCGTGCTCATGCGGTGATGGTACTGATGTACAGGTGGACAACGCAAACGTTGTCTCGTCAGAACGTGGTTCGGTCTTGAACCATGTGGATGTGCCTGTGACATGGCAGCAGACGCCACTGCTGCGGCTGCCGCAGCCGCTGCGACTGCCATCGCAGAACTATGTGGGAACGAAATGGCTCCAGTCGGTGTCTGCGCTGCATAAAGCCCCATTCCTGGTTGGAGTCCGCCTGGAGCAGAGGCCGGTTGCGGCAATCGGCTTGCAGCCATGGACGGAGAGGGTCCGCAGCAGCCAGGAGCAGGGAGGCCGACCATACCTGCCGGGGTTGAGCCAAGAGCCCGCCCAAGATCGAACCAAGGGACTAGAGAACCATTTTGAGGTTGTACAGGTGGATGTTGCCAATTCATAAAAGTGGCTGCAACTGGAAGATCTTGAGTGGCCGAGTGTAAATTGGGCAGAGTCAGGCCCTGCTGCAAGGCATTTGCGGCCGCCACTGCAGCTGCATTTAGATTTTGTCCAGCAGGATGGCCTGGCCAGTTTGGCTGATGTTGACTAGTATGAGTAGCGAGTAGGCCAGGTGCTAGGGTGTTGTGCTGGGTAACAGTGGAGGAAATAGGTGAAACAGAAGCCGAACAGATGGCGGTTGAGGCGAGGCTGTTGAATGAAGAGCCGGTTTCAAGCTGTCCAGTGAATTGTGTGAAGTTTTGCCCGGTATGAGGCTGAGTCACCCCGATGGGGAGGCCAGGAGAAGCGTGCAGTAATGCGTGATGTGGAGTTGTTGGAGGCGTAGTGTGCAGGGGATGCAATGCATGCGGCTGCAGATGCAGCGACGAATGGTAAGGAGCACCCGGAGCTGTTTGGGAAAAGGCCAAGCCGTTAGGAAAGCTGCTTAGATAGGGGAGAACCGGACTGTTTGGCCCTGCATCCGGCTGGTGCACAGGACTCCCACTGCCTGAAAGCGATTACGAAAGAAGAGTAATGTCGAAGAAGACTTGGTATAAGACTGGTCTTGCAGATGATCGAAGAAAGAGAGCTTTAATTTTATATCGAATTCACAACTTATAAACAAGTTAGATCTGATAGGCTAGTTTGATTTTACGGCCTTGACCTGAAACTCTTGTGGGACTAACGAATGGTCCCATGAGGAAACTCAATTGTAAAAATTAAAAATTGTTCTAAAAACAGCCAAAGAAAATAAATGTAATGGAGTAGAGGTGACTATTTTAGATCGAGCTGACTAATAAAATAGACTAAATTAACACACTAAGACATTCACAACCAACGCCCTCACAAATTGGACTAAAAAATAACTCATAACAAACCAGACATTTATACACGATTTAACGATCGAGTTGGCTCAATATTGAGTTGAGCCAGAACAACGGCTAAAGAACCTTGAGCTGGTATTACTCAATTATTATACTTTCCTTCCTGGATAGATTGCACTGTTGTAGCTAGTTCGTGGCATAAAGTCGATTGGATACAGTGCTCTGTCACAAAATGCTTAATGACAAAGTCGTAAGTTATACGAAAAGTATAGTTATTGTGAGATGAAATAAGCATATTATATTGACTATCAGCAAATGAAAAGATGAAATAGGCAGGAATCTGATCCAGATTCATTTAGAAGAATATCAAAGTTGGCGAGAAGTAAAACCTGTTATGCGTACGCAGTATAAGCAAAGGCATAAACGAGACGATTAAAATTTTTTTTAAAGCCAACGAAATGGCTTCGACACTGGAAGATAATGAGTAAATTTTAGAGTAAATATAAGAGGATTTAAAAGATCCTATGCATAGCTTTTTTGAAAATCAAAATAAAGCCAATTTCGCAAATGAACTTCTGGGAATAAGGCCCTATTTACAAAAAAGTTATCATACATATCCTAAATTTCTAATAAACCATACTAATATTGAATAAGAGGATTCGTTCTCATAGAAAATCACAAAATACA